CCGGCTTGTCGAGAGCGCACCCCGAGATGTCAACCTCGAATGCAGCGCGGCGATGACAAAGACCGGATGAATGGGAAGAAGAAGATTTTGCTCGCGATAGTATTGATGTCAATGCACACGCTCAGCACGCTGCTCAGTCAAGATATGGAGGCTCGTAGTGTGTTTTCTTCTTCATTCTCGTTGTTCATCCCGTCTTCTGAGTGCAGTCAGCGGGGCAGCCAGCTCGCTCGTCAGAGCGGCTTGTCGGACGGCCACCAGCGAAGCGAATGAAAGGCGCACCGGCTCTTTCTCTGCTCTGGCGCTATTGGAAAACGATTCGTCGTACAATTATGGAACATTTATCGCTATTCGAGCCATCCGGCTAGCCTCCCGCCTCCCCCTTGTTCCCTGTCTCATCACCCGCTTGATTGTCTTCGACGTCATTGTCCTCGGTTGTCATGTATCTGTCGATGACTCCGGTCCTCAAAATTGAAGTCGGATTCTGTGTCTTCTCGACGCAGATATCTAGGTACCCGCGCTCCGAGGTACGGGGCGACACGGGCGTTCTTCGCTCTTTCAGACGATCCCGGAGCTCCGCGCGTTTGTCTGACGCTGTTTTTTCCCCGGCCGATATATTTGATTCTGCGACTCCGGAATCCCGTGGCAGACCGGAAGAAAGAAATTCCCACCGACGATTAGACGCGTCAACGGAAATCTGTTTTCATATCAAGACTCAACAAAGTTTGGCGTCGAGGGAACGGCGAGTTTCCTGCTCCTCTCCTCGCCGGCGGAACCGTCTCGCTGCTCATCTCCACGACCGTTTCCCGCACGAGTTCGATGCCTGGGAAGCAACAGCAGCAGGAAATTCATCGATGAATGCTGCTGGGAAACGCGTTGACACGAGAGCGTTGAGACGAAGCTCCCGGCGGGGACAAATGTGGGGAGAAAAATCCCCAAAATGGACTTCACACTTTTTCAGAACTCCTCGATCAGGCGGAAAACCAAATCCAGACAACACCTGCAATCACGCTCCTTGACGGGAATCCCGGACTTCTTCGCGCTCCGTTGCCTCGTCCGAGAGCTCGATATTCCTTGACGTGAGGAAAGTACAAGTCCCAATCATCTGAAGGAAGCGCTCTTCAAGCAGAGGGGTACATTGTTCCGTAGATGGGTCTGGATGCGGCGTCAGCATGATCATTCGGCATTCCCCGCTCAGGAACGAAGAATCCAACTGCCTTGATGAAACTCGCTCGGACATCATTTTGATTAATGATAACGAATACTTCGAAGATGCATTCAAGACCTATGCTTGTCACAGCTCGGCGTAGATCACGCTCGGGTAGATGATTGGAGCATCGATTACCCACAATGAAAGACCGAGTCGAACTCTACAATTCCGTCTCGGACGCTTCGGAACAAAAAAATAGTACCAGAATATCCGACGAGCTGGAGAGCTTGGATAGATGACCACAGGTGCCAAAAAAAGACGAACGGAGATGGCTCCTCGGATCTGAGAGGCTTTCTAAAGTTTCCGGATGTCTCCGATCTCACTCAGATTATCGCCCGAGGAGAGCTGTCCCACGAAGGAGGCATTCGCTCGGAGCAACCCGTCAGAAGAGCGAGACGAGGCACGGGGAGAGCCTTTTTCGCTCTCGGGAAATCTGTCCCCGGCTTCCTTTGATTCCGGTGAGACCCTTGGAGACGAGGTTCCCTCTTCGACACCTCTCTCCCGTGAGGCAAGCTCTCAGGTTCCTCCCTCATGCCTGTACTTCGCGCGTCCTCGAAGCAAGCTCCTTTGGTTAATGTATTCCGAACTTTCTTGGCGCATGCTCTTCGCATCGGCCAGCGGACGTCTCCTCGACTTTCCATTCTAGCGGAGCTTCACGTTTCATTCTGAGTGAGTCATCTGAATGTGCTGCGGAATTATCGCTATCGCTCGACTCGCCGCAAAAGAATGCAGGAGAATCACCATGATGAGCTCACGGGAAGCAGGAGCATTCTGCTCGATACTACTTTAAGGTCTTCGTGGGTGCAGTGTCTGGTAGTTGGTCGGTCCTTTCGGATCCCCGACCCCGACTGAAAGTTGGCTTTCCGTAGTTGTAGTAGTATTCGGGCTTGTGGCAATCAGGTCTCGAATGAAGATGGACTGCCTACTGTACGTTCTCGCCACGCTGCCTCTCAGCCATCGGCTTGTCGTTAAATATTTACGAGGGAACATCGAAGTTTACTTTGCACCACGGCGCTGCTCCCTCCAGCAAGCGACCATCGACGACCGGGCTTGTCGCCTACGGCACCCACGAATCGTCCATGAATGGAAGGTCTCCGAAAGCAGTTTTTGCTTTCCGTGCTCGAGCTAGAAAGTCTCCGGGAGTGGAGACCTTCTGGATACCCGCAGGCGAAACTTCGTTCGACTTACGCGCACGGACGAACATGACATCGATATCGATCACTTATCTACGGTCGGCTCCCGGATTCAGCCTTTGGCGTATGGTATACATTTGGGGTTCTCGCTTGAGTCGAACGAAATAAGAGGGCCGATTCGCGATCCGGGACTGATCGAGTCAAACATGACGGAGCTTGAGAGCTGCAAATACGCTCCACGGCCAGCACAGCTCTATCGAGAGCGATCCGAAGTGACTCACTCGACACTGTCCACTCCCATCCTGCCCACATTTTCATTCCGACAGCGCGCGGCGTTCAGTCTCGGCAAGTCGAGCGGAATCTTAGTTTTCTCGGCCGCCCCTGCCAACAGCCGATGACCGAAGTCACACGGTGTGAGCGAGGTGCCACAGAAAACAAATCGTCTTGCAATGGGATCCGGAACAGCAAGCTCTCGAATACCCCGACAAGAGGGATGCGACCGCGAGGTCTTGTGATGGTGCGTCGATCATTTCCTTTTCTCGACTACGATCGCTTGGAGAGGGCGCGCAGTATTGGATCAATCGGAGTCGATACATCCGGACAACGACGCGACATCAAGAGCAACACCGGAAGGGATTTTCCGGACCGAGAGTAGTTGCTCGGAGCAGAACGAACGAAAAATCCGGAATCGACTCTCGCGGTAGAATCAACAGAAGGAAATAAAGCGACAGACGGACCTGATGACGATGGATTCTAGAATCAAGCGTTTTCGTTGAACTTTGGAAAATCTTGGCAGTGAGCTCCAGACGTTCACAGGGGAATTCCTGATTTGCTCAAATGATTCCCCTCTGGGCGGAGCCTAGAAAACGCCAGTGAGGAAGTGCTCTCTCTACCGCAATAATTCCCGACTTCAATTCTCAAGCCCGCTCTTCGCTTCTATGAGGCGCGATGTTTTTTCATTCCCATGTTTCAGGCGTGAGGCTCTCTATGCGAATTCTGTCGTCGTTGATCTGAGCGAGCGCCCACACCCGGCCGTGATTGAATGAGAGTTCTGGGATCGACTGACTTAGAGAGAGTCGACGTCCTCGTCGCGAAGTCCGTGAAAATGAGGCTCAGGCTCATCGGAGTGCTAATTGGGCTAGAGTTGGTGCAAGTTCAATGTGCACATGGACATCCATGGATCAGCAGGGCGGACCGATGGTGGGGAACTCCTTTGCGTCATTTGGTGAGCCGTCTTCCCGATATGTAGTCCTTAAGAGATCAGAGCCCCGACACCTGTCGAAGGGAAAGCTGCATTACTATATCTGACTGAGGAAATATGCGAGCATGTCGATGTACACAGAGAAAATTCCAGGATGGGAACGTATACGGTATCGTTGCGAGTCTCGAACCAGAATTCGCTCAGCTCGAGGCACCGACACCCAGATTGATTATTCTGATCAGAATCTACAGCTGCCTCCATGATTCGCTAGCAGACACTGTACATATGATCAGCTATCCGGGAAGTGTGGAGAAGGACGAAACCGAGCCCGGCACAAAGAACGTCGCGATAGGTCCCACCGACTCGCGAGACATGCGCTCCAGCGCTGATGTACCCCGCACAGACAAGGGGACATTCCGACCTCCCAGGTGAGAGAATCCGTCGTCGGTCGGGTACCGGGCACCTAGGACTCTTCACGAGGTCCCCTGGTACATTCAGCGATAGCTGCGACTGATCGTCGGGAGGCGGTGAAATGCTGTGATCTCTGAAAAGGTTCCTTTACGGATTTCTGATATTTATCACACTTCGGAACCCTGTAATAGGGAGGAAACTTTTTTCAGATATAAACCCAGGACAGAAAACGCTTCACCGGTCACACCGAAAGAACGTCCGCGGTACTGAGCGCCCCAGGAAGACGCTTGACCGGAGAGGCTCATGAATCATGCGCAGAATTATCCGTCACGTCCAGAATCCTCACCGAGTACTTCCCCTGCGAGGGAGTACGACCGTTCCACCTGCTCCTTGCAAATGCAGTGGACGTGAATTCTTTTCACCTCATGTGTTGGGTTGAGAGAGCGAAGAGAGGAAGCTTATTCCACACATGAATCATCCTCGGGCTCCCGATATTTATCATGTCTCCCTCGGAGCAAAGTTCTCCACATTGATGCATGCGGGATCTACATCTTCGGAGTAGGCATTACGCACAGAGCACTTACCGTCTGAGCACCTTCGAAGAGCTCCAAGAACGGGATAGAGCAGCTTGCGAGAATAGGAATGCCTCGCTGAGATCTTGCGAACTACTGACAGATGATCTCCAGAGGAGTAGGATCTCGCTATGGCTACGTCCCCAGAGAAGCCTCGGACGTCCCTTCGGAGGCGCTTTAGTTCGGAGATGAGAATTCAGCCGAAGCTGTACATAATGCCGGATTCATAACCTGTGACAGTGATCGTTAGCTTCTGGGACGAGTGACGATTCCATCGATCGGAGCATTGAGCGCGGTGGTCAGCAGATATGAATGAACTTGACTCTCTAGTAGGGCCAGCATTAGGGTCCATGAGCTCTTGCGGAATCGTAAGTGAAATCAGCGAAGAAATGGTGTGTTTACGCGACTTGATGTCTGCATAGCTGGCAGTTTTGGCCTGGGATCATCTACCTGATATAAATACGGATCTAAGAGGTTGCGGCCATCCCTTAGCTCAATCAAGATGGTTCGCTTCATGCTACTTCTCCTAGGTATGTAATACGGAAGAAGGCAATCTTTCTTCCGAGACCGGACGAGTTCTCCGGTCGGGATAATCGGAATAAGGTTTGTGCTAGCAGTTCGGAGTTACCGTCCCTCGGGGTGAGTAGAGCTCCGTGTCGCTGGCAGAAGTGAAGATTCTGATTTTGCGCATCGCCTCTCTGACATTCGCTGTGTTGGAAACACTTGTTCATGCTCTCGAAATAAATCCTAAATGAGGATTGAGAAATTTTATTGGTTTCCCGACTCTTCAATGTTTGAATTTCCGGCAATCGTCGGAACTCATTGCTGCGATATCTCCTCATGGTTTCTCTTGCTCGCATTGGGATCGATCGTAGCCAGCAGGCATTCGCTAAGGATATACCTTGGAGAATTTGCGCGGGAATCCCGTAATGGGAATTATACCCGGAATGTCTAGCTCAATTGGGATGGGTTAGGTCACCAAGATCTCGACAGAAATCCCGCACATTATTTCGGGTCCTGCTCGTTCATGCTGAATATGGTGATGTTACAACCACAAAATTGTCTCACAGGTGTCCAAGGGCTGAGCGCCTTATCTGGGCGATCAGACTGTGACTGGAAAGTTTTAGATGAGGCCGCCTCAAATTTCGTGTTCGCGGGAGCGAACTCCACCATGCCCGTGACTTCAGAAGAACTCGACGAAGTTTGTAAAATTGCCGAAAACGCCATCGCGCTGTGCGAAAGTTTTGCGAAGGACTGTACTAGTGGTCTGGGTGAGATGATTATATTTAATCACACTGATAATGTTCTTCGCGAACTGTTTCCTACTCCTCGTGGTAACGAATGCGAATGAATTCTATTCATGTCCTCAACTTATATAAGGCGGACATATACGGAGGGGGATAATTATACATCGACAGAAGCGGCAATGATTACGATATTCCTCGATGCGGCCAAAAAAGATCGCCAGGAGCGCTGTGAGTGGAACCGAGAAGAGTACTTGGATGTTGCGACGTGTCTCCAGGAGGAAGCGTCGGAAGGACTCAGATTTTGCAATGCGAGGCAAGCCGGCTATCTTCAGGCCGTTCTGAGGAAGGAAAAGAAGATCCGCGTTCCGCTCGCGTGCTGGTCGGTCATAGTCGAGATCCGAAGGCGAAGATCGATTCACCGGAATAAGCAAGCAGACTTCCATCGCTAAACTTTCTTCTCGTGGTTGCAGTTATCAGAAGCAGTACGAACTGTGCATCAACAGAGCTAGCTCGATTTGCGGAAGAAAATACATGAGATACACGAAGAAGGTACGATGTCGAAGAAAACAGGGCTAACGGGAGAAATATCGCGATCGAGACGGGAGATGATCTCATCGTTATTGTGCAGCCAAGTAATCTCGCGTCGGAGCGAGAGACGCTCCTCGATTGCAGAGAGTCACAATCGTTTTGAATTTCCCCAGGTCATAAGCATAATGTCTGACGAGTTGAAGGATACGGCATGCAGGAAGTACACAAAAAATCCCGATTTGTGTGACGAGCTGCCCGCTGTGAGGCCTGTTAGACAGCCTATGTTCTCTACAATAATTCCTGCCCTTGTGAAGATTGTGGGCCTGAACTGAGGTCAACATGGAAAGACTGTTTGAGCAACGGATACCCAGAATATTGAGCTGAGAGCTGTCGCCCGTTCCGACGAATAAACGTTATCAGCACCATCAGTCCAAACGGGTGATGAGCGGGTCTACCGTGTGGGCGATGGAAATATCTTCAGGTGATCGACCGGGAGCTGTTCGAGGTGTTCGGTCAAACTTGGTAAACGAGAGAGGAACAATCCCGGCGGCGGAAAACGTATCGGTCGAGCGGAATTCGGAACGAACAAGGATCGTAGACGACGCTATTTTGTCTTTCCGATGACTCCGTCCCTTACGCCGACATTGCCTGAGACAGTATCGTCTTCCCTCCAGGAAGCGAAGATTTTGATAATCAGTCAGTGTTTCCGCTATTCCACCACCGGGCTGAGTCATGCTGAACGTTTTCCTGATGGTAGCCTTCCAAACAATTCCGCGGAGGACGTACTCGTGGCATACTTGAGAGATATTCGATTCCTGTGGGATGTAAACAGCGAATCGTGTGGCTGGGCATCAGTTTTCGGGAAAGATCGATGTCCTCTACACTTCTGTCCCTTGATAAGGGGTGTCTGGTGTGACGGCATAACAGTTCTCGGAGAGCCATCTCGGAGCCTTGCGGTGTCGAATTCGTCCGAAAGGGAGGCAAGCGGAGATGTCTAATCGATTGAAGGAACTGTCTTTAGAGAGGGACAAATACCGTGAGTCGGAGCAATGAAAAAAAGTTTTCAGTGAAAAAACTGTTCCGGCCTAATCTGAGGCATGAACTCCAGCCGGAACTTCCGACTATCGGCATCCGCGAACTCGGAGCAATCGACGAAATCTCAGCGCGGGAATCCGTCTTAGTGGCGAGAAACCTTTCGATTCGTCCAACAGGCCATCGTTTCCGAATTTATCATTGGCCAGGATAGACCCGTTAAGACCGATTTTGTAAGCATGGGACAAGATTGGACCAAGGCCTGAAATTAGGTCCGTTCTCTCGGAAAGTCCATAGGCTTGTCAGGGAGCGAGAAGTCGGTCCGTCGTGACCGATAATCCGCTGCATCCGGGTCCGTTATGAGGAGGTTCTACTGTATTTTGCCTGAACACGGATCGTGGAATCGGACTGGTCCTCTAGAGCCCGAAGCAGATCTATCGGCGAAAGATGAAACCTAGGATGGGTTGAGGGTTGGAGATACGTTCCACTGTCCCTCCCGTGCAGTCGAGCGCTGAGTGAAGAGCCTGATTTTTCGATGAATCATATTCTGAAGCTGAATCGCGTTAGCTGGGACGATCGAGAGATCGGATAGGTCTCCAAGTGACCTTAAAGTGACCTTATTCTTGGGCACAAAAGCCGGAACGCGCCCCGACAATCGAATGAAACGTTCCAGAGCTTCATTTGAGCGATTCGCCGGGGAATCTCACTCATCTCGCGTCAGGAGAGCGTTGGAAAGGTCAACTCCGGGATCATCCCAGCCTCACAAGTCTGATCTACAAACTGCAGTGACGTACGATGCGATGCGCTATGGGAAGATCCACCGCGTGGCATACTTGAAATCACACTGACTCCCTGATCCGCTCAGAAAACGGGAGTCGCCGCTAATCATGGAGTCGTTAACGCCCGGTCCTTCAGACGGAATTTGGCTACCAGGAAGCTCATTGACCGTTGCTTTCCACAAGCATCGCCGTTATGAACAGCGCAGCAGACGGCATCAGAATTGTTGGGCGATGATGACGACGATATTGCTTTCGGCTCGGCTACTGACTCAGCTAGCCTTCCCATGTCACTCTGAATTCAAAGTTCACCATCTCAAATAAGGTTTGGAGCGCGGATCGGACCAACATTGCGGACGAAGCCCGTCGTATTCCGACGACGCAGTCCGTGAAATGCGCATCTTGACTGGAATTATCCCGATCCTGGAGATTTCTCTGATAGGCGGGAGCATAATTGAGAATCCCAGAACTGTTCAGATGTCGGTTATACACAACATTACGGTTTGCTCAAGATCGCTGATTCTTTGATCACTTGAATATACCGTTCGAGACAAACTACTCGATGACGAAGAGTTTCGAATTGATGATTGAATACGCCTCTCACGTCAATCTGATAAATAGAGACCGCGATCACGCTGGCAGGTGTGAAAGCAGTTGGAACGTCGTCGCGCTCTAAGGGGATTTCGAAAGAGAAATCTCGTTATCTCCGGAAAACCCTACCGTATCGATACTATCTCTGGCGTTTACCGGTTCGCTCCGCTTTCGGTGATGAGCGTTTTCTCGCGATCATTTGTTCGACCGAATCGTTTGTCTTTGAGTAATTTTGAGATGGGAGGTCTATCAGCTCGGCGAAACACCACTCTTCTTCAGCTACGCATCGCAGTGTTTTTTCCCGAAGCTTAGCGACTCGAGTATACCTTGTTCGGAATGGCGCGACATCCCTTCGTATTGTCCAGAGGATACGTTACGGTCTGGTTCAGCCCCCGGGTGGAGCGAATCTGACCGAGCGACGAGGAAAGTCATCGTTTTCGGGTTCTTTGTAGATACCGATCTTGCCCTGCTGTCTTCAAGTACCTCGACCTCCATCGTACAAACATGTCTCCGGAGATCAACAGTCTGAAACAGCGATTCTTAAGCTCTTTCCTTCTGCTACTCTAAGCGTGTCGGACTGTAATGTCCACGTATATCCCGAAAGAAATGAGTGCTGCAAATTTCGGAGCAGCTCCAAGTTATTGGGGAATCTCGCGAGGATTCCGGATTTGAGTCTGGAGCTGGAACGTCAAGAGAGAACACGAGTGACCCTCACGGAAAATCTTGAGGAGTCGGGAAGCGTCGGGAGTGAATCAGTCATGGACATGCAGGCGCATCCACCTAGTCTCTGGACAATGAATTCCGGCTGCCGCAGCCGACCGAAATGCGAGGTGATCTCAGTCAGAGTTTGTTTGCCCGACCTTTAGCTTGACGCAGCGTCACATGCGAGAAAAAATCAGCGATTCTCGTTGACTTCCGCAATTGGCTTAAAAAACTATAGCATAGGATTTCTCCATTGAAGTAAGTTCACGGAGTCGGCTCCCTGATGCCATCGGCTAGCTGAGGGGAATACATACGCATAAAGCCTTCGCGACGGCTGAGAAAATTCGCGCGCTTCCCGCCGTTCACGACACCGAATCGAGAACAACTCCATAGGCTCCGCTCGAGCGGCGAAAACGGAAAAACGGATGAGCATCTCGGTCGGTCTATTGTCAGGCGGAACCTGTTCGAGACGACTTCCCAGACGTCGATCATGCGGCTATCGGGATCAACAACGCACTAGTATCGAGTCTGCGCTGAGTGGTTCTTTTTTTAGGATGCTCACAGGGTGTTTGTCGGACACCGAATGCGCCGGCAGCGTCCATTTCGTTCTAATCGTCGGGTCGTTACAGGCCGCCGCGGACATATGGACTTCTAGCCCGAAACGCTCCAAGGTCAACGGAGGATATCCTTGACGAATCTTGTCGGAGAAGCCCGAGAACAGAGAAATCTGAGACAGAAGACGAATTTCGATCGCTCAGCGGAGATCATCACCTCAATCTCGCTCGATCAGTCCTCCCAGTTTCATATGTGCCCTGCATCGAATCTCTGAAGGAGCTTTTGGGAACCGGGAATCCGGAAAGAATCCGGGTCGGACAATCATCGGTGACAGCCGTTGTATCGAATTGATTCAGTGCAGCGGTCGGTTTCGTGTGGGCGGATCCCTCAGAGCATCGCATCTCCTCCGAGCAGCACCCGATACCGATTCTCATACTCTATCGTTTCGTATTTCGTCAACAGCAGGGGCACAACGGGGACTCTCCGTTTCGCTCAACTTCAGTGCTTCTCAGAGGAATCAAGCTGTCCCCACCTCCCGTCGGTTCCCATTCGGGGCGAGGGCTCCCCGTGTCTAGAAACACTGCTCTCCCGTATATAACCACAGTCCGAAGCGTTGAAATGACCAAAGAACTTGCCAAAAAAATCTATTGAAAGCCGGGAGATGCGATTTCTTGTCTATTGATGCTATCTCACGAGAATCTCAAGAAGTCAATCGCTTAACCTATCCTTGCAGCGATCGAGCGGTACCTGATCAAAAATGTCGTCCGAACACGCACGATCGGGAAGCTGAGATCGGGGCCAGAAGGGGTGCCAGCTGTAGATCGAAATGACTTATCTCTGGACCCTAATCGATGAGCTTCCCCCCCTACACATTGACGGGCACCAGCATGAGGAGTAGAAACCGTTTCGGGATGATGCTCGCCGACGAAGTTGGGAGCGTCGGTACTATCTTGATTAGACGGTGATGACTCGGAGATAAGTCGAGCCTGAAGCGGTTCCCGGATTAAGAATGGACCTGAGGGCAGCCAGTCCGGGTGAGCTAACGGCGTCTCTATCTAGGAAGATGACTTTCCACAAATGCTTGCATGTCAACAAAATATGCCAGAGACACTAACCCAAAATAGGTGAACAAGTGCGGAGAAATACCGGAGACCTGCGGGGAAAGATAGGGGACTTCGGAAGATCGCGGAGCCAGGAATATCGCCGTTCCCGAATATGCAATAGATCATGAGTGGCACATAGGTACAGACCTGGAGATCCAGCGCTCTGTCGGGGCTACAGGGAACGCTGCACAAAACCACGGTGTTTCATGAAGCCATAGAGTGGCTATCAGCGACTGGCAAAGTCTGAGGCGATCGTTTCCAGAGGTCATGAGCGAAACCCTCGAGAGACACGAGCGTCGTTACCAGCCTACTGTTTCGTTGACTCCAGAATCCGTCAAAGTGGAGCCTTACAATACTGCAGACGCTGAGACAGAGGTCTTGTGGGATATCGATGGACGATCGCTAAAACTGGCGCGTTCACACAGCGCCCATCTTTTCCACGCTCGGTATTTTCCAGTTAAAACATTTCCGTTCTGACTCGTCCCCGCCCCCCTATAACCCCCTACATATCATGTTACTTTCTGTCGGACCTTATGATCAAGCAACGTACCAAAACAAATCGACCCGCCCAGTCGAGCAGCGAGCTTAAAACAGGTATGGGGAGTTCAGCTGTGATCCCCCTTGTTTTGCAAGATGACGTTGTAATCCCACAAACCTCGATGCAGAG